AATTGCTACTTCCTAAAGAAAGTCAATTGAAAAATTAGTACTTTTATATATCTCAAATCAACTAATCCTTACTCATTTGATTTTGATATATCTTTACGATAAAATATTCTTGCGATATTGCTCATTCGACTTTCAGTTTCTCAAATCAACCTAAATTCTGACTCATTCAACTTAAAATTAGTTTTTTTTGACAAAAATATTCTTGCAATATTATTCATATAACTAGTCTTACTCATTATATCTTATCGGCAAAATATTCTTGCGATATTGCTCATTCAACTTTCAGTTTCTCAAATCAATCTAAATTCTGACTCATTCAACTTAAAATTAGTTTTTTTTGATAAAAATATTCTTGCGATATTATTCATACAACTAGTCTTACTCATTATATATATATTAATGATTTACAATAAAATATTTTTGCGATATTATTCGTTTGACTTCCTGTTTCTTAAAAATAACTTAAATTTTACTTGAAAATTAGTTTTTTTTGACAAAATATTCTTTCGATATTATTCATATAAGATAAAATTCAGTTTTTAGTTGAAATTTTAACTAGTTGTGGTTGAATTTAATAATATTTCTTTTATTTCTTTCTTTTATTTTTTTTTACCAAAAAAACATCTTTAAGCAAAATTTTTAACTAATGCAATAAAATTTTAATTTTTTACCCGAATGTGTAATTTGTTTATAAATCAGAAATAAATAAGCTTAAATAAACTTTTAATATAATTGAATCGAAAACTTTAAATAAAGTAATATTTGATAGATAATACATGCAACAAATAATACATAAATCGTCTTTATATTGTAAAATAATATTAAGAATATAAAATAATACAAATATGAAGATTATTCTTATAAATTGCTCTATTTTGAACTTTTTTCTCTTTTTTTTTTCTCTTTCAAAAATTTATCAAAATGAGCAGAAAAAGGTCAATTGCTAGCATACTAGATGATGAAGAAAATGACTTAAGTCAATCTTCTACTACAACTTCTTATAGAAGAAACAGATCGATTACTAGTTTAATTGATGAAGAAATATCTTCTTCTTCTAGAACATCATCATCGCGTAATGTAATAACAAGATATCGATATTCACAAAGCTCAATTTCAGATGCATTTCATCAACTCGAAATTCAGGAAGAAACGGGAGAGTCTTCAATAACATCAGCTTCAGCTAGATGAATTATTGAACATAAATCAGAAGATGATGAATATCAGAAGGATTCTAATTCTACATTTGTATCTCGAAGACGTGTAAATGGGTACAAAAATCGACCAAAACCCAACATAAATCCTCCTGATGACAATTCTGAACAAAGTGTTGATGAGCTTTCCGAATCTTTTAAATATACCACCGAAGAAGACAATATTTCAGGTAGTAGTAATAATAGAAATGAATCGGATGATGGAGAATCAGATGATGATGAAGATTACGAAACATTTGAGAATTATGCATCACCTGATTATGAACTATTTCAGAACCCACCAGATCTAGAATCAACAATTGATAACCAAATTTTATGGATTTTGCTCTGGATTATGATATTTTGGACAAGATTCAACATAACAGAGACAGCAATTGAGGCTTTGATAAAATTTATGAAATTAGTTTTGACAGAAATCGGTGAAGATAATTTTAGAGACTTTCCAGATTCAATGTACTTAACAAGAAAAAAACTTGGATTAAAAGATCATTTTCATAGCTTCGTTTCTTGTCCGAAATGTTATAAGCTATATAAAAAACTGAAAGTGATAAATTTTAGACAAGAAGATTTACTTGCTATAATGAAGTGCTGACATATAGAATTTCCTAATTTGTCACTCTGTAAATCACGACTTTGCAATACAACTATATCTCGAACTATCGGTATTTCGGCAAATCAAGTAGTAATTTGACCTAATTTAATATTTCCATTTTCTTAAATCAGACAACAACTCGCTTTGATGTATCGTCGGCCTTGTTTTGAAAGTTATTTGAGACAATAGGCAAATCGTTAGCATTATGATAATATTAGAACTGATATATATGATGGTCAAGTATGGCAGACATTGAAAGAATCTTCTGAAGAAAATTCGCAAATTTTTTTTAGAGATGAAGTGGCTGATTCTCACCTTGAATTAATGTTGAACTTGGATTGGTTTCAGCCTTATAAAGGCACTGTATATAGTATTAGTGTTATTTATGCTGCTATATGTAATTTGCCACGTGATATCTGATTTAAACGTAAAAATCTACTGACTCTTGGCCTCTTACCTGGCCAAGTGAAGTAAGTTTGCACAAAATAAATCATTATTTAGCACTGATCGTTGATGAATTAAAATCTCTTTGGGATGGAATAACTATAGATAAAACATACGAATTTTAAAAAGGAAGGATCATTCGTGTAGCTCTAATTCTTATTTTATGTGATATACCAGCTGCTAGAAAAATATGGGATCATGTTTCAGCCTTAGTATCATGTCATAGGTGTGAGAAGAAAGCAAATTATGAAAATCAGCAGCATAATTTTGCTGGTATGGATGATTTTGATAATTGGTTCTTCATGCGAGATCTAACTGAATATCATCAGAATGCTTTAAAATGGAGATATTGCAATTCTGATACTTCACGAAAGTGATTTGTAAAACAAACTGGTGTAAGATGGTCTGAATTATTGTAATTACCATATTTTGACCCTATTAGATTTATCACAATCGACCCAATGCATTACTTATTTTTAGGAATTGCACAATGGATAGTAAAATGAATTTGGATCGATGGGGAATTTTAACATCAAATGCCCTGAAAAAAATTCAGAAAAAAATAAATGAGTTTTAGATTCCATCTGATTTGGGTCGAATTCCAGGTAAAATTCATGAAGGAGAAGGATTTTCTAATTTCACAGCCGATCAATGGCAAATATTTTTTACTGTTTATGCCACTGTATCGCTTTGGGAATATCTTTCGGCTGTAAATAAAAAGATTCTTACAAATTTTGTGAGAATTTGCTTAATTTTAGTTAGCCGAATTATAGAATCAGATCTTATTTTAGAAGCTCATTGAAGATTAATTGAAATAGCAAAGCTGATAGTCATATTAAAATTACGCTGAATATTCATTTATATCTTCATTTATACGATTGCTTATTTGATTATAGGCTATTGTATGCGTTCTGGTATTTTTCTTTTGAACGCATGAATGGAATATTAGGTAATTCATCATTATGAAAATTTTCTGATTGAATATATTTATTAATTTTTAAATTTATAAT